AGGCTCCATTCTTGGGAAATCAAAGATTCCACTCTGAGTGTGATAGCTCTTTCTGAATGTCCTGCTCTTGTGGGGCAAATTTTTAGGGGCGCAAGGCTCAGAGTAGGACCCGATGGGGGAGATCGCTGCTACTTCACGTTTTAAGGGATAATTTCTTGTGCTGTGTCAGATTCTGTAGGCCGATACAAAATGGCCGCCCTCAACAGCAGATGAGCGCGCCGCTGAGCAGTGTTGGCGATACTCAGGAGATCATTTCCCCTTCCACTGTGAGGACACTTATATAGAAGAGGTCTACCTCTAAGTAAAAATTCCCCCACCAACTGGTTCCAGGCAAAGTCTCGAAGCAGCCTTAGGCCCTGACCATAATGTCAGGGTGGCGCTGAGGGGGGTTGGGCAGGCCAAGGGTCTTGAACACTGTCGACACCCAATAAATGTTGAATGAAATAATTTTGATGGGGGCGGGCAGATACCTGGGTGCTGGGAGGGGGTAAATGGGTGGGGGTCGGTGTTCATAAGACTCCAAAGTTGAGCTCCATCCTGCATCTTTGGGGGAATGAGGGAGGGACCGAGGGCACAGCCACCGCCATGTGGGCGTCTGAGGCAAGGGAGAGGAGGTGGAGGTTGCAGCCACCGAACCACAAGGGTTCTTAGAGGGGTCATGGTCTCTAGGAAGTTCGCAGGAAGCCCGTCGGCAGTAGACGGGTGTGCCGGGGGGCGCACATCCCGCAGCTTGCTTGAGTGGGCTGCCTGGAGGCTATGGGGAGAAGATAAAAGTGCCTGTGGGACCACAGACTGTCGCTGTGGTGGGGCTGTGCCCTCTTCCTCTCCCCAGCCTCGCTCCTGTTCCATCCCTGGGGGCCAGGGTGAGAGCGGCAGGAACCTCAAGGGCTTTGAGAGAACATGTGGTGTGCAGCGCCGGTTTGCTCTCGACTCTTTGTCGTCTCTTTGTCTGTCTTTGGGCCTATTGCTCTGTGCCTCTGTCTTGCCTCCCCGAATTTCTTCGTTTCTTCTCCTCTTTTTTGTGCCACCCTGCACTTTGCGTATGATTGTGGAGTGTGCTGTTGTGTAGCTGTTGTTTTAAGGAGCTGCTCCAGGCTGTCCCTTCCCTCCTCCCCTCGTCCCTGGAGGCCTCTGTGCCTTCTTGGGAAATCAGCCCGTTTCCTTTCGTCCAGGCGTCCCTCCCACCCTGCGGGTCTCCCTCACATTCTCCCTCAGCTGCAGGCCGAGCTCTGCGGGCTCCCTTCACGTCAAAGCTGCTCCCTCTGAAGCCTGTGTGGCCGCCAGAGGCCAGGATGCCTGCGGACAGGCCAGAGGAGAGCTTAGTGGCAGCTGGAGTGGGGAAGGATGAAAAAGGAGAAGAGGCTCAGGTGTTCCAGGCACCAGGGAGAGGCAGCACAGCCTGCTGGCGTGTGAGGCAAAGAGGAAGAGAGACACAGACACGGGCAGCTGGAGGCCGGAGCACAAGCTTGGGGAAGCACAGATACAGAAATGCACAGCTATGAGCAGAGGAGGGTGGGGGAGAGAGAGGGAGGGAGGGAGGGAGGAAAAGGCACCAGGGTCTCCTCAAGGGACCAGCAAGCCCTCTCATCTCTCAGTCTCTCAGTCCCCTGGGGTGATGGTATGCAGGATGGTACTGTACTGGGGCAGAGCACCTCTGGGGACGCTGAGGATGTGGGAACCAGAGGCCAGCTCTCTGGGGTGGCAGCGGAAGCCCAAAGCACCAAAGAAAGCAGCAGCTGGAAACCCACAGCCTCCTCCCCTAAGCTGCGCCCTGGGGTGAGATGGGCGGTGCAGGGAGCTGGAGGCAGGGAAGTGGCTCTCTGCACCGACTGCAGGACCTGGTGCGGGGAGTCAAAGTGGCCACGATATGGGGAAGGGTCAAGATGTCCCCAGCCTTCCGCACGCATCTCACCAGGATGAGCTCAATCAGGACATCCCAGAGAAGGGTGATCCTGTATGGAGACTCTGTCCCCCTCCTGTCTTCACTGCTCATCCGGTTCAGTCAGTCTGGGATGGGGGGCAGTGGCAGTCACCTTGAGTGGAAGTGGAAGGCTGCCCCCGCCCCACTCTTCTCACCCAGGCTTCCCCTGAGTGCTTCCCATACCCCTGGCTAACTTGTAAACAACCTCACCGTGACTAGGACTGGTCTCCCTCCCTCCTTTCCTGGAAACCCCCTTCCTGACCTCTTACGTTCCTACTTGCCTGGTTTAAACAAAATCTATCAGCCAGGCATGGTGGCTCAGGCCTATAATCCCAGCACTTTGAGAAGCCGAGGCAGGAAGATCACTTGAGGCCAGGAGTTTGAGCCCAGCCTGGGCAACATAGTGAGACCCTGCCTCTACAAAATATAGAAAGACTAGGCAGGAGGAACACTTGAGCCCAGGAGTTGAGGCTACAGTGAGCTATGATGATGCCACTACACCCAGCCTGGATGACAGACCAAGACCCTGTCTCCAAAAAAAAACCCAACGATCTGTCTGTCTGTCTATCTATCTATCTCAAGCACCTACCACGTGTTAGGCTGTGGATAATCCCTCTTCCGAGCAGATGGAGTAACTGGAGGGGCTTTTTTTATCTTCTCCCAAACCTCAGTAGGAGGACCAAGCCCCTAGCACGTCCCGCGGATGCTATATCCCTACCATGAGTTGTGTATTAGTGAGTACCGCGAGAGGAAATGAGTGATTCAAGTCAACTTGGTTTAAGTTAAATGAACACGAGTCATTTCTCTGTGCTCCAGCTGGGGTCAGGCCTGCAGTGGCCTCACAGCCGGCTGGACCATCATCTCTGTCCTCAAGGGGCTTGAGCTGGTGGGAGAGAGATGGGAACTCAAGTCATCCCCCATCATGTAGAAGAAAGGGCATGCCCAGGAAGAGGGTGCCGTGGGAGTTCAGAGTGGGCAGGTCACTGCTCAGACGGCAAAGGCGCCATTAGGGGAAAGAAAGATCCGGCTTGGGAGAGAGAATCGGAAGTCTGGAGGCAGGATCTCATCTCAGTGGCCTGGGACCAGGTGCTTGCTGAACCTTCCCCAGACAGTCATCTCCCTGAGGCCCTCTAATGGCCTGGGCCTGGACTTCAAAGACGCTTGAGCCATGCACCTGCCTTATTTCCTTTTTTTGAGACAGGGTCTTGCTCTGTCACCTGTGCTACAGTGCAGTGGCGTTACCCTAGCTCACTGCAGCCTCGAGCTCCTGGGGCTCAAATGATCCTCCTGCCTCAGCCTCATGAGTAGCTGGGACTCTATAGGCATGAGCCACCATGCCTGGCTCATTTTTCTATTTTTTTGTAGAGATGAGGTCTCACTGTATTGCTCAGGTTGGTCTTGAACTCCTGGCCTCAAGTGATCCTTCCACCTTGGCCTCCCAAAGTGCTGGGATTACAGACATAAGCCATTGCCCTGGCCTCCTGCCTGCCTTTGAGGTGCTTTCTGGGTGGCCTCCCTTCAGACCCTACCCTAGTCCCATGTCATCTGGTCCCCAGTTACCACATCAAGCTTCCAAAACTCTACACAGACATGTCACATCTCTGCTCAAAGATCAGCAGTGGCTCCTAGTCACCTCCATGACAGCACCTCAATCTGCCTGTCAGGATTAACAGCCAGGCCCCAAAGGCCTTTCCCACCCCAGCTCTCCAATCTCCCTCCTGGAGCCTTCTCTACTCCCCACCCTCCCTGCACATCCCCACCACCTTTGCACACCAGAGAGTCGCAATGCTTTCCTTTCCATCTAACTCTGGTTTTTTGTTTTTGTTTTTTGAGACAGAGTCTTGCTCTGTCACCTGGGCTAGAGTGCTGTGGCGTCGGCCTAGCTCACAGCGGCCTCAAACTCCTGGGCTCAAGTGATCCTCCTGCCTCAGCCTCCTGAGCAGCTGAGACTATGGTGTGCACCACCACGCCCGTCTAATTTTTCTATTTTTAGTAGAGACGGGGTCTTGCTCTTGCTTAGGCTGGTCTCGAATTCCTGAGCTCAGGAGTGCTAGGATTACTAACCTGGGTTTTTAAACCTGAGTATGATCAGTCACCTGGAGGCTTGTGAAAACACAGATGACTAGACCAACCCCCAGTGTCTGATTTAGCAGGTCTAGAGCGGGGCTGAGAATCTGCATTCCTCACAAGTTCCTAGGTAATGCTGCTGCCTGACCCGGGACCACACTTGGACAATCACTCCTCCAGCATTGCTGCCTGCTCCTCTGGGTCCATTCGGAGGCTTTCTGCACTCCCCCTCCCCATCCCCAGCCTTGACTGTCTTCCAAGCCCACAGAAACCGCGCCTTGCTGTAAACCCTGGAACAGCCTTTTCTGCTTGGTCTGCTCGAGGCCTAATAGGGTTGGCTGGATATTGGGCAGGGAAATGAGCCTCTGCTCTTTCTCTCCCTGATCCCTCTCTCCCTGAGGCTTGCACCAGGCCCAGGTCCTGGGAGCTTTGTTTCAGAACTGTCCACTGTCCTTCAACTCTTTTCCCACATCCCTGCAGCCACTACCTTAGCTCGGGCTTCATCTTTTCTCACTGAGATTGTTGCAGTCCTGCCTCTGGGGCTTCGCTGCCTCTGGTTCATCTTCCACACAGCAGTGGAAGGGATCCACTTTGCAGATCTAGTCATCGTCCCTGCGTAAACTCCTCCACCGGCTCCTAGTACCCAGGATCGAGTCCCAGCATCTCAGCACGGCATTCAGCGACATCGCGTCCTAGCCTGGCCCCATGGTTTCAGTCCCCGCCAGTTTGCCACCACCTTCTCCGTGAATCCTCTTGTGATCCCACCTGGCAAAGAGCCCGCTCCTTGCCTGGGGACAGCACTCTGTGGCGTGTCCCACAGGGTGTCTGGTTAGTGGTATGCAAGTCCAGTTCACTGGGCTGGCTGTAAGTGTCATGAGGGGAGATTGTCCCCACATGCCCCGGGCCCAGTAATGCCTGCTGTCTCACGATCAGTATCTCCCTCAGGCCCTGCCATTTCTGCAGGCTGGGGTCCCCGATGGCCCAGGCCCCTGCCTACTTCAACAAGGCCACAATGAACCGGGGAATCTCTTTTAGGCACCTGCTCCTGGTGCTGCAGCTGGGTAAGTTCTCAGGCCTGGGGTCTCAATGCAGATGGCATGGGAGGGAAATGCAAAGGTGGGGGCTGGACAGTGGCAGCATTGAGGCCTGACTCCCTTCTTGTCCACCCAGCGCTGCTCCCGGCAGTCACTCAGGGAAAGGAAGTGGTGCTGGGCAGAAAAGGGGATACCGTGGAGCTGCCCTGTAAAGCTTCGCAGAAGAAGTCCATGCCCTTCGCCTGGAAGCACTCGAACCAGACCAGGATTCTGGGAAAACAGGGCTCCAGCTACTTCGAGACTACAGGTAGGGTTGCCTGGCTCCCGTCCAGGGAGGAAAACACGCTATCGATCAAACAACCCTGGTGCCAGAGACCTGCTTCTAGTACATTCTGGGATCCCAAAGGGCTCGGGTTGACAGAAACCCAGTGACACTCTTGCTGGCGGCCCAGGGAATGGCTTTTGGTGGTATATTAATTTGAATGTTTTAATAGTCATGCATTATTTTAATGAGTTTTAATTAATTAATTAATTTGG